TTATTTTATGCTATCTATCTCTTTTTCGTCATTTTAAGAGAAAAATCTCTGTGATTAATTATTTCCCTCAGATAATCTGTATGAATTCTTTCCTTCATCATTTAAACCATTTTAAATTTATCTTGGTCAATATATTATGTATACATTTATCTAAAGCATTTGACATCGAATTTCATTCAAGAATCATTGTAAATATCGTAAATAAATAAAATGATTAAACTAATTTACAAGATTTCTGTTTTCAAACACCTAAATGGATTCTTATGTATTTTTACAGCTACTGAAAAAAAATATAAAGTTAAAAAGTTTCATTATTTATAGGTTTTGGGAAATCAGTAATATCAATTTTATTATTTTAAATTAATAATATCTATAGCTCGTAAATTTGCAAAGCAAATAAGAAAGAATAATGTTCAAAATCGAACAATAATGAATGTTGTAATATAAGAATAATTGAATTTATATTCTTTGCGAGAAAAATTTTATAAAAATATGGAGACATGTTTCGACATTACTTATAAACTTTATCAGTTTTGTAGAAAATACCAAATTGTAATAAAACAATAAGATGTCGCCAAGTTTTCTGCTTATTATCTTGTTACAATTTGATGTGTTTTATTAAATTAATGAAAACTAAATAGAGTCGAAACATATTTTTCGTATAATTCTCGTAAAGAATAAATTGATTATTATTCTTATAATTTACAATTATTGCTCGATTTTGGCTGTTTTTTTTTTTTTGTTTATTATTTTAATCACTTAAAATTCTACATGAACAATACAAGAGGCTTTGTATTATTACTATATGTAATAATAGTAAATTTATATTATAAAATATAAATTTATTTTTATTTATTGTATAATTCTCTATAATTTTTAGAGTGAATTGTACTTTGAAAAGTGAAATCTCACTTTTAATGATTAAAAATTGAGCTCTTTTTCCAAGATTAGCTCAATTTCACTCTTTATTGAAATTCCATTCTAAAGAATTTGAAGAGAGAAAAAATATTTAAATTTCTTATAGCTGTATTAGAAGAGGATTGCAGAAACCACTTTGTTTCTTAATTAATATTTCTTAAACAAAAGCTAAGAATAAAATTTTAGACACATAAATATAAAATTAAAAAATGTGTTTTCTCTATTATTAGATAATACAGCAGTTTGTAATATTTGTTTGCAATTTTGCAATAATAAATTTTTTCGTAAGAAAAACAAAAATGAATATCTGACAAAGTAGATCCCAAAACTGATACAGTAGGCAGTAATATCACATATTCCTATTCTTTTCTTTCACAAAAACCGTCTGTACAAAATATCTTACAATTGAATATGCTTAATAAGATTTTTTCTATAGAATCTATTCATTTCTATATAAAACGTTTTTCATTCATTTATACGCATATTTCATACTGCAAAACGCAAATATCTAAAGCGAGAGTTTCTTTTTTTTTTTTTTTTTTTTTTTTTACAGTTTTCTCATAAATATATGATTGTCTTTAACTTCGATAGGGCTATTTAACACTATAATCTAAATGGAAGGTACTGACGGCAGTATTAACATAATTATCGCAATAACTTGTATATCATACTTCATATAGAAGCGATCGGGATAGAATGTAATAATGATGATAATATCGATTGATTAAAAAAAAACCTCGTAGTAGAATTTTCTTCACCATAGGGATCGCTGAAAAACGCAATAATTCGTTAGCGAGGTAGCGAAGCATGGCATCCAATAAATAATACTTGCTATTCTTGCCGAACGTTCCGTTCTTTCAATTCCGCGATATTAAAGATACGTTAACTCGCTCGGTGGAGACCAGTAGTTTTTGCTCTGGCTGCGACGGGAGAAATATGACTCTGATCGCTTCTTTTCATTTTCAAAAAGCGAACGTAAGGAGAGCAATAATAACTTGAACGCCAGTTGTTCAAGAAAGATTCATTGCTCTCTTGCATAAAGAACCTAACGAGTTTGAAATTTTTCTCCTTGGCCACGCTGACGTCGGCATTGAACTCTAATATTGTGGATAAACACATATATAATACAAACGTATCCGTTATGATGATTTACGAGAAAATGGTAAAATACTGTAATTGTGAAATTGTATTAAATGTGCTGCAATATATAATTCTTAATATTCTGTTTGTAATCTTGAAAGAAAAATCTTTTAGTATTTATAATGTAAAAATCTTTTTATAACTGTTGTAATTAAATCTCTTTGGAGAAGTTATCTTTGCTATAGGTAAAAAGAGATTTTATAATAATTCTCAAAGAATTTTATTTCGCATGCAGTAGCTTGTACAGAAAAAGAAATTAAACATTATTTGTTACATTTGTTAATTACGCATCTTTTTCGCTTTATTTAACTCGTTTTAGAGAGTATTTAGTTAACGTTGGAATTTAATGCATTTTGTATCTTTTAGAAAAAAAGAGAATTTTGAAATAATATTCTTTTTAAAAGACTTAATTTTCCATTGAGAAAATTAGCGCACATTATCGACATTATATTTTGGAATAAAAATGAAAAGAATACGTACATTTACGTAATAATACGTAATAATATATATTCGTATCGCTTTATATAAATGGTTTAATATGAGATTAATAAAGTTTGAGGTTTTTCTTTCTGGCTGCGCGTTAATGCTGCTATTGACCCGCTACTTCAGCATCATAAATAAAATTCAGTACGCTCGCGCGCGTACACTCTATTACAATTTACGATCAAGCGTGTAATGGAAGTTGCATTAACACGATTTTTACGTTATACCAATAGACAAATTGCAAAAGTTTCCTCTTTTCACTACAAGGAAAAATATAACGGTTTGTTTCTTTTCCTGCCAGTAATTTTCACGTTTCGCTGAAAATTTAAAGAATAAGAAAAACGAATATCCAGATTCTTTTTCTTTAATCTGTTTTTAACCTTTAAGCTTACAAATTGCACTTATTATTTATAATACGCTAAATTCTGCGTGAAATAAGGAATTGTAATTTCTCCGTTTGTTTCTTTTTGTTTCAGATCGCTACAGGATTTCAGGATGACACACAGGACGAAGTATTCTCGGATACAGACATTGCACGAGAGGTAAGTACTGTCCGCTTTATAGAAAATATATATTGCGCGTCCCTTTTTAAAAATTATTTATTATAAATGTTAGACTACAATTCACATGTTATCATTATATAGTCATTTTTCAATCGAGCTTGATCAAAGACTTAAGGTGTATACTCGGTGCATTTGGAGAAAAATATTATAATGATAGTAACTAAAAGTGATTATGCATATTTTATCTACATGTAAAATTACTATACATAACTAATGTACACATATGGAATACTATTTTATAGTTGCAATAATTATAAAATTATTTAATGTGTGTACATATATATGTAAAATGTCTATTATTTTTTTTTCTATTTATGAATATGTGAAAGATTGCATACCATTTATTATTTATACGTTCATATTTTATACTTAATATCTCAATAACGTGAAGCGTTATTCTCGCTGATTGGCGTCCAGTAAAAAGTCTGAATATAAAATATGTCGAAAGACCTCTGGAAGTCGTTTGATAAAATTTTGAATATTCGGTGTATCATATAAATTGCAAAATTCTTTTCTTTTTGAATAAATAAGAATCTCACTAGCAGTGAAAGGAAACTGGAAGCGGGAGCAATTAAAGGAATCCGACATGTTGTGACCTACATAATCTCCCGCAGATCCGACAGGGGTTCCTTACTTGAGAACAGGTCACGAATAGTCGCAGTCGATCGATTTTTAATATAAATAGATGTGTAGCACACGGATACACGCGCGCGAATTCGCCTAATCTTTTCCGTCGTTTTCTTCGCGCCAAGTCTTCTTGTTTTTTTTCTTCGTTTCTTCTCATTTTGTATTTTCGACTATTGTCTTCTTTCTCTCTTTTCGTCACTCCATTCTTTCGATACTACCAACCACTCTCCAACCATTCACCCTCTTTTGAACTTTCTTTTACAATTCTTCGCTCTGTTTTAAGTCCCTTTCTGCCTTACGCACTTACGTACACACATCTCCGGTAAATTCTTTTCTCTTCTTTCACACTTCTTTTTTACCGTCACTTATTGTTTTTCTTTTTTGTTCCACTTGCTTTACGCCTAAAGAAATTTATTTACAGAAACGAAAATCGCGCTCAATATTCGGCTCTCGATTACACTTTGTCTCCTGATAATATTCGGCGATATAAACTGGAAATACGCGATCGTTGAAATTGCATCGCAGCGTCATGTTATAACGATCCCCAACGGTCGCGTGGTCCTTTAACATTTCCCTCCGAAGCTTTGTGAATTTAAGATATGACTATGATAAGCTGGCAACCATTATACCTAACTAAAATCGCGCTCTGCTGGTTTCGCTGAAGAGAGTTCAATATAATTTTTCTAGTCTATAAAAAGTATTAACTTTCACAAGGGATGTGTTATTATTGTCGGATTGTTGAGTCTCTTTAAAATATATTATTAAACACATAAAAATTTAAGAATCACGTATTTTTTTATATCTGCCTTTTTTGAAGTTTAAACCTTTCAACCTTTTATATTTGCCATTAAAAAAATATGGGCAAAATGATAAGATATAAAAGAAGTTTTAAAAAAAAACTTTTATGATTTTTTATGTATTTTGTAACTGATTTAAATTTTCCAAAAATCTAATTTTTTAAAGTATTTTTCAAATTCTCCATTATTGCCTTCTTTTTTTAAATTGTATATATCAATTTTTTATATCAATAAAAATAAAAAACAATTTTATGCCAATTTTATTCATATATAAAATTTTATTTCTCTCTTATATTTTCTGGTACGTTTAATAATATATTTTAAATAGAATCAAATTGGTTTTGGACAGTTGTGACTTGTTTTACATTAATCTAAGTTGCAAATTTCACATATTAAATGATTTAAAAAAATAAAACTTTGACGAGTAAAAGATGAAGAAATGAAGATATATGCGACGAAATTGTGAACTCACCTCATCGTAGATAAAATTGTCGATCTCTTCCAACGGCCTGCCGTAGAGATTGTTCGGAAATGGTTCGAACTTGTTTGGCAGTACCGCGCCATCCTCTACCGACATCTTTTTCTTCGGTTGAAAACCATATTCGCGCACTAATTGTACAGTCTTGTTCTCCAATCTGCTCTCTTTCGTGAATGGCTTGACTGTTTGTTTGCCGCCCTTGCTGCTGGGAGTTCTCGCGCCGAATGACCTGCTTTCGATCTTAGATTCCTTGGTATCGAGAATGTCATTCGACGCTGTCTGCGGTGTCACGACGTCCGCTTGGATCTCTGCGCTTCCGGAATCGCCGGTGCCGGAATCAGCAGAAGTGCCAGCGGTTCCGGCCAATGGTGGCCGCAATCTCATGCTGTCCTGCGTCCTGGAACCAATTCTCTTCATCGGCGGAGATTCACTCTTTTTGGATTCTGGTGAAGTTAACTTCTCCGTTCCTGACGGACTCGTAATTTCATCCGCTTTGTCGGTATCGGCGCGCGAATCTGACTTGGCATTCGTTTGCGAAAAGAGAGATTCCTTGTCTTCCTTTAACGATGGCGAGCTCGAACGTTCATATGGCGAACTTGTATGTTCCTTGTCGTCAGCTTGATAGATTCTCGTTGCAGTTTTTGGACAAATCTTCAATGCTCGCGAGCTCGGTTCCTCGTATTCGGTATACGTAGGAGGACTTAAACCCGCATATGGCGGTGGTGATTGGCCCTGGTCCTCACTAGGTTCCGTCGACGAGATGATATGACGCGAGGGTACTTCAGGACGCTTCGGGGTTTCCCTGAAATGGCGCTGTCCAGCAGCCATCCTGAGATCTTCATCGGTAATCTGCACATCAATGGAACTTTCTCTAGGCGATGCACTGACGCTGGGTCGTAACGACTCTCTCCAGCCGATAGGAAACTCGGAAGATCCTCGAGCGGATCTTTCCGACAAAGTCTGCCCAGGGTGATCCTCCGGGCGTCTCGACCAATCCCTTTCCGTCGGGAGCGAGCCATGATGATCCTTCCGCGCTAAAGTCTCTGATAATTTACCATCAGGTTCTCGATGTTTAACTGCGATGCCAGATCTTCTGGGTGGCTGAGGTGTTCTGGAAGTCGCTCCTCTGAAATGATCCTGACTGTCCAAGTCTCGGCTGCTTCCTAGAATATTGAGACTCCTCTGACTACCGCCGTCTCTGGGTCGGTCGTTCGGATTCCCAGTAGGTCCATAAATTCCCTCCTTGGCCAACTCATCCAATTCCTCTCTGCTCAAGTTCTTCACGTAGAGCCCAGCCACGCGGGGTCGGTTCGTAAAGCCATTGTCCTCCGAACCGCTGCTCGGAGGGCTGGGAGGACTTTTATACCCCTCGCTCCCGCCCCGCCGAGATGTCATTGGGACCTTTGCTCGATCATTCCCTTTCGATCCTGTACTACTTTCGTCGACCTCATACTATCGCTAGATTGATGCTTGATTATTGCAAATCGATATCCGCCACGTTGTTATCGATCCAACCAGCAGGATTTTAAAGCATTAAGGATTACACGATATATCACTGCCTGTTTCCGTGTTGTCGATTTGTCTTCTCCTATCTCATCATTTATATGAAGCTTCGATTACTGCGGTTGAATCTAGGCTATTTCGAAATGCTGGTTGAACTTCTGCTGCAGTGACACCGAAAGCTCGTGTGAAACACCTTTTTTCAAATTGTATTTCACTTTCATCAATTAACACTCGTGAGATCTGCATTCAAAAACATTCTTTTGAATACAGAAATCGTGCTGCTTTTTTACATCTTGAACCTCGCGAATCGAGGCCTAGAGTTCATAATACAAAAGATAGCCTCGTAGATTCATATATCGATGCACTAGACTGCAAAATTGCCCTATGCGATGGTTTATGTTTCCGATATTTAGGGTGACTTGCTAAGATAAATAGATAATATTCGGTACACTTTATTATTGATGGCCAGTAGCGGAAAATACTAGAGAGTATTCGCGTGTGATGGATGGTGACAGACTTCTCAATTTCTCGCAATCTACTACTTCCAGCACTTTAAAGTTAGTGATCCCGCTTGTTGGAAACAACAACGCGTATCATCTTAACAGATCACGATGATTTGCGACAGCAAGGCACGATTCGATGATGCTGTTCAAGCCGAATGACAAGCCTCTCGAAATCACAGAAGGTTCGATCACTAAAAGTTTCTCGAGTTACATCGTCGCTCATGAGCCTATCCTGGCCGTATTGTCGAGAGCGGTTTACATACACTTGCGTGGTATACTCCTCGTGTCGTGTCGCGACTTTAAGAGGTCAAGGAGTCCGTGCCTGCACATAACTCATTTCGAATGTTGGCAGCTACCGAGTGTCATGGTACTACCTGCTATAAGTGATCGACCGGTCACGTCTACCAGCCCTTGGAACTCCGTTTCGCCGACAGTCTGGATGAATTTAATAAATATATGCGTGCGGTAGCGAGTGAAAGTCGACCACGTGAGCCCTCGCGACTCGAGTCATCGATCATCAACCACGTCACTGTAGGCACGTAAACCGTCATGTAAATGTACCGTCGTACTGCAGCGTGTATCGCATGAAGACAAGGACGTTCCGCAAGTTGATCGCAGTCCTCGATCGATAGCTTAATCAACGAACGATTTGAAAGCATAGAAACGCACAATTGCTCCTTATTCCTTGGTCATTCCGATTTGACTTCAGCTTTCGCGCAATGGTGAAATTTGGATAAGTGCACGTCGGAAACACACGAAGTGTCGTCGCCTGCCGGTCAATCACCCCGACCCTCTGAATGTTCATTCGCATTCCGGTGGGATCATGCGAAAAGGACCCTGAGGACGAATCGTCGGTGACTAAGCGGCCAGGACGCGATTAGCCAGGCTGTTCGTTTCAGGTATGCACTGGCGGGAGTAAGGATGGGGGGCAAAGGCGCATCCGCCCACACACAACCGCGGTTCTTGCGAAACAGCGTGGTCGGCTCGTATCAGCGTACCACTATCATCACCAGTACCCACCACGAGGCGTCGAGATTGACGGCGAGACCAAATGCGGTTGACTCCGCGGTATCCCCCACAGTCAGCACTCACTCGTCATCCGTCATCCGGCGAGGTAGTACGGCAGTCGTCACGTCGCGAATAGGACAGTCGGGCGAGGGATACAACGAAAACGAAGAGAAAAGCCGAAAGCGAGAAAGAGAAACAGTCCGCGGTAAAAAGAGAAGACATTCAAGTGGGAGTTAGAGAAAAAAAGGAAGGATCAAGCGGGAGAAAGATAGAGGGACAGAGACAGAAGGAGAGAGAGAGAGAGAGAGAGAGAGAGAGAGAGAGAGAGAGAGAGAGAGAGAGAAAGAGAAAGAGAGAGCCGTGGTGCACCCTCGTCGTATAGTTCGGTAAATTCTGCTCGAGCGGGAGTGCAAAATCACGGGCGTCTCTTCCGAGAGCTGTGGCGGCACTGTCGGCACCGAACCCCCATCGGTACCGTGCGCGCGCGCGTGTATCGAACCACCCCAAGCCGCACGGAGAACGCCGTCGGCCGCGCGGAATCTTCGTTGGCGTAGCCGCGTTATATACATATACACATAACGGTGGGATCTCGAAACACACACGCGAGAATCGCGGTGAGAGGTCGGTGGTGGTGATGAGGGCCGGTCGCGGAAATGCTGATGGTGTTAGTGATCGTTGTTGTTGGTGCTCATAATAGTTTGATAATGGTGGTAGTGGTGATGGTGGTGGTGGTAGTGGCGGCAGCGGCGGCGGCGGTGGCGACGATAGTCGTGGGGGGTACCACCTGCACGAATATCCACCGCTGCCACTGACGCTAACCCCCACCCATGGCATCCACAACGAGCGCAACCAACCCTTTCCTCTCGTGCAAGTGATGGCGGTGACGATGGTGGAGGTGGCGGAGGTCGTGGTGAGCAGGATACGGCAAACAGGCGAATCGACAGCGGGCGAACGGTACCCCGTTCCGCAGGACACGCGCGGTAATTAATTCGCCAATCGACACCAGATTCCGTCGGGTGAGAGTTAATACGCGAAACGGTGAAACCGGCTCTCTCTCTCTCTCTCTCTCTTCCGCAGCCAACGTATAATTCTCGTCCTTACGCGATTATCATTCTTGCGGTACAAGAAAATTCTCGATAACGCTATTCGGGAATAACGGATTTCCATTAACAAAATCGATTTAACTAAAAGCTGCGATCGAAGGCTTGCCGATGATGAAGTTTAAACGTTTCTCTTATCTCAAAGCTAATAAAGGCAAATCGACACGGATTCTTTGCGGCGTTACATGATATTGAAAAATACCAAGATTTTTTAATAACCGATAAATTTTTCTTTTATCTTCTTATTAATTATAAAGACTGGTACTTTGAATGAGGAGTTTGTCAGCGCAACTTTCTTTTGACGTAAATTTAAACAGAGTTTTTATTATGTACATCGATAATGATAAACCTTCATTATACGATATTGCCTAGAAATGTTAACGTTTTGTTTCTGATTAATGGTATATGAAAATTGAGAATTAAGATGAAAATTTCAATCAATCTGAAATTTTTGCTTGCGGAAATTTAAACTACAATTATAATCTTATTGTAAATTGTGCATTAAGCAAATCGGAGAACGTTACTTTTTCAACTTTTCATAATAATCGTAATAAATTCTCAAACAAAGTAGAAATTAGTAACTGTGATTAATCCAAGCGACGGTTTTATGCTGACAGAAAGTTAAAGATATAATTAAGTACAGTGAAACAGTAGATATATTAGTGAAGAAGCGTTATGTCGCAATATAATGGCGTTATTAATTTGATAGATTTTTGTGCATTCTAACACATTTTAAAACACATTTGAAAATTCTATAAACAGTAATAATTAAAAACAGAAATTAAAGAAACAGCGAAACTTGATAAATAAAAAAGTTCCTTAACAGAAATTTAAAAAGACATACATCAAACTAATAAAATTAAAACATTAAAAGATTTTCATTATTTTTATTGTATTATATTTTATCAAATTATCAAAAGTCCATTATTTATTTTAAATTATTATTTTTATTAAATTTTTATTAATTAAGGTGTAAATAAATAGTAAAATCTTATTTAGTGTTATTAATTAATTGATATTAATATTTAATTATACATGTTCTTAATTATACATTCAAAATTTTAGGATTATAATAAATCTTATATTCAAGTTCTTCCGAAAATATACTCCCCTCTGTATTTCGATATTTTGATTGAATGACTCAATAGTTGATGTTGTAAGTATTAGTCATTTGTTATTAATCCCGCGAGAAATACAGTCTCTCAATAGAGTCTCTTCAAATTTTTTGGAAATCAGGTTGTTTCCCTTCTTATTAAATTATTCCTTTTTTCTTCTAAATTAAAATAGAAATAATTAGTTCGCGATATTAAGTGATATCCGAGGAATATTAATACGCCAATTAAAATGACATTAAATTTAAACGATGAAATATAATCTACGCAAGTAGAATTTTAAGCGCACCGATAATATATAAGATATGCTGTTTTACCAGCTTTCATCTGCTCTCTGAAACTAAACATAAATTTTCCTAACCGGATTCTCGGTATTCAACTATATATAATTTGGAATTTAAAATCCATATTTCATCATTGTGACATTTGTGACACATTAGGTTTGTCATTTACATTTCGAACAATATTACGATTTTGGAGTCGTCTTCGATCCTAATTTATAGTAACTTATAGTAACGATGATTAATTAGACAGATGATTAAAATGTGCATCCTTTTTGTACGATATGGCTAATAATGTTTGCGATTCATGAATAGTATTTGGATATATATATATATA